AAAACCCCCAAAAAAAAAAAAAAAAAAAAAAAAGAAAGAAAGAAAGAAAATTTGTCTATTTTTACTTAAAGGATACTTTGTTTAATATGGCACTAGATGATACAGTACACTATTATTAATAATAAAAATTTGTTCTCTAGAAATTATAACTAGAACATAGAAATGTTACATGTAAATTTATCTTAGAGTTAAATATTTTCTTCTCTTAGTTCGTTTCAAACAAATCAGTTTACTGGAATGATGTATCAGACGGTACTACTTCCCCATCGACATTCTTTGAAAACAGGAAGCTTAGATGAAGCAGTAACTCCCAATATATCACCAGCACAATGGCCAGGTATAAATAATTTATAAATATGTGTGTGTTTATATATCAATTTTTTTAATCTTATTGAAAATATTCATAAGAAACAGATTTGATTTGGTTTTGCCTCATGATAATCATTGTTAAATATTGCTAAAATTGATACCCGTTCAGTATTCACCACTCATTATGAATTATGCAGTTACTTAACATTAGTATTTCCTTGCATTGTACTAAAGTGACTCATGTGTTTTGTAATATTTTTAAAAATTATTTTGCTGTTTTTTATCTATGAGATTTGAGTTAGATTATAGATTATTAGTGTTTCTCTAAATTGAACAAGTAATTCAACATTTATACTTTAACTGTAATAACCTCTACTAGTCTATGAATCTTAGGAAGAAAATACAATATTTAATCCTGATGCAATACATTTTTTTTTCTAAAATTAGAAAAATTTCAAAAATTTCAAAACTAAAAATTAACTATATGTTTTCCTAATTTTTTGAAATAAATTAGACAGCTATGTTTGTTGTTTGTTCTAGGAATAACTTGTCTAATTCGACTTTTGAATTCTTCTGGCGAAGAAGCCCAGTCAGGGCTTACAGTTTTGCTCTGTGAGATTCTCACAGCAGTCTATCTCAGTCTCTTCATCCATGGCCTGGCCACACATTCAAGTAATGAACTATTTCGGATTGTGGCCCATCCTCTAAATGAAAAAATGTGGTCTGCTGTATTTGGTGGAGGTGTACATGTTCCTAGCAAAGAACAGACACAGTCAAAGTCTTTACCTGGTAAGTTTTTAATTGTTTTGTTTTGGTTTTTTTCATTTAAGACTGAAGCTTTATTTATTCATCTGAGTAGTGACTTTCTCAAATGTAATTACATTTTCATTTATTCAGAGAAAGTTCTTGTTACATACCATTGACTAAAAGCATGAGCAAATAGATTTATGCAGTTTAAGTTTCTGGTGCACTTTTCAATCTTTAAGATACTTCTGCACCAGTGATTAGAACTATCTAACATAAATTTACTGAATTCTTTACTATTGAAACTTTCATTTGTTTTGAAATACACTGTAATATTGATTTTTGTTCTATCTCAAATACAGATTCTTTCTTCTTTCTTTGGCAGGAAGGCACTTTGCTATGCCTAGCCCCCACCAGGTAGTGGTATTCTCCATGGAATGTGTGGGCTTTTCCAAAGCTCTTTCAGCCATCAGTTCTCATAGCCCTCCCAGTCTTGCAGGCAAGATATTAGCTTTAGAAATAGGCTTTACCATGCAACTTGCTTTGTGTTGTTTTAGAGGGGTTGGGTTACAGCGGGTCAGTTTCATTTTGTTTGGCATTTATAGAAAATTGAGAAGTTTCCTTTAATCAAGCCATATTTTTTATTTAAAACAAAACTATCCCTGCTATTTTATTCTGCTTTAAAATTCTTTGTTTTTGATATTTTCTATCCTTTGGGCTTTAAAAATTTTAAGTGTGCAAAAATTAAACATTGTCAGTGGTAATCATAAGAAATCAAACTATGGCTTGAAATGACTGGAAAACCATTTCAAATGAGGCTGCTTTATGATTTGCATATTATGATTCTGGCCATTAGAGTTTTTGGATTTCTAAGTGTTCATAAGACCATGAGAGGTAAATATTTTAAACAATTATTTCCCCTTTTAAAAGCTTTCTAATGTTAAACTACATATATCATAATATTAGTTAACTATATATATTATATTAGTTAAAGATTGAAACAACAAATTTTCTTGAAAAGAATTTTATGATATTTTCTCCCTTTCTGTTTTTGTGTTAGCCCATGTATGATAGTCTTGGTTTTCCAGTTTGGGAGGTTATGAGGAGTAGATTTAGTTATTAATGTATATTCTTGAAAACTTGTTTTATTCTATACTGATAATGAATAAATTTTAAAAATATTAAATGCTTAAAAAAAAAAAGCCCTATGCCTACCTTTAAGAGAAAATCCCAGTGAGATTATCTCTTTATGAATTTTAATTACTTTCCTCCCTAACTTCTACATTCAACATACACGTGTACATATGTGTGTATGTTAGCTTGGACATATATATGCTAGGAGGTCAGGCAGTTGGTAGGGGACATGAGAGGATAGAAAAACTTGAATCTGACTTCATTATTTAGGCAAAAATTATTGCCAAAATCTATATCATGCTTGGTGAATATTCTTTGAATGAAGCTGTATCAGAAGAAAATTAGAAAAGTGATTATTTTGGTAAAATATTAAAAAGTTATTGGTATCAGTGATGACATGATTATGCTTTACAGAAGTAGTTTCCACTAAGCTATGGCCCCACCTGATAGTATAGCAGAAAATTCTAGCTTCTGCTTCCTCTCCTTAATTGAAATTATTTCTTCAGTCACCTAGGACTCTTGTACTTACTAATCCAGGTCCCTTCCCCTCTTCCACTAAGAAAAAAACGGCAAGGATTTAGTCCTTTATGTCTGATACTTCAACATATTAAAGTTCAATCAATCTGTAAAGGGCCAAATATATAATTTTGACTTTGCATGTCCTTTAGTGTCTCACAGCTATTCAATTCTGCCCTTGTAGCTCAAAAGCAGCTATACACAGTTTGTAAATAAATGATTGTTGCTGCATTCCAATAAATTGTTATTTATTTATCGGGTCATAATTTACCCACCCCTGCCATAGAAGTAGAAGCAATTTATCACTGCTCTGTTTGGAATAAAATAGTTACGTTCCCTGGAATTTCAGGTTTTAAGAATCAAGTTAATATTTTAGGGGATGGAGCTCACACTGGATCTCTCACAAGTATTTGACCTCACCATAAAATAGTACTTGTGAAATAAGACAAGTGGCATCAGAGGGATAATTTATAATCTTCCCTGCCATGGCTCTTAACTTTCTTGAACAAGTCCAGGGGCCAATTCAGTTTTAGCTGCTGTAAAACACTAAAAATGTTCAAGGCTAATATGGCTTTTTCTGAAACTTGATAACATCTTGCCCAGTACTCATCTGCTTACCACACATTACTCACTATTTTGATCACTGTTTTATCCTTCTGTTTTTTGCCTTTTGCGCTAAATTATTAAACTTATTTTCTTTTACCTTTCCTCCTTATGAACTTTAGATTTCAAGTGCAGATTTATCTTATTTGCTGAATAAGCAAAGGTAACTCTGCTAATTATAATATTAAATATTTTAAAATATTGTTTGTTACAAAATGTAACTTTGCTTATTAAAATATTAAGTATTTTTAGTTCTATAACATCCCTTTTCTAGTTTTTAAAGAGTCATTTTCTGTGTTTTATTTTTTATATTGATTTAAAAAAAGAAAAGACTAACTTCATATGAAATTTGCTTTGGACTATGTAGGTACCTAACTTTAAATATCTGAATTCAATTAAAGAAAAACTTTCCAAGTCCAAGGGAAGTAAAATCTATAGCTCTGTTGAGCTTAGTATTAAATAATTGGTAAATTAATTTTGGCACTGTTTTTAATATGTTCTGAGAGAAAATTGTTAAAACTTTGATGTTGTTAATATGAAATGTTAAAGGGATAAATGTTAAATGCTAAGGTATGTCCACATAGCTATAAAAATGTGAAAAATACCTTCCTATCAACCAGACTTCAGGTCTCAATTCCAGCCATTTCTGCTGAGCACAGATATACATCAAGAACCTTACTCAAACTCCAAGTTACTCCTTGTTAACCATTCAGATTTAGTTGTTTGTGGGCAAAAATGCCACTCCATAAATTATTTCTAAGAACCATCATAGATACCATTATAAACTGTATCCCACTACTTACTCAACCCCATATAAAAAATAAGGTACCAAAAGTTATCTGCATCTATATGTTTAACCTTGAAGCCAAATTATGCAGAGTACTTAAAACATGGTTCACTTAAAAGGCAGACTGGATGTAGTCACATCCAGGTTATATGCTGCACATCTGTTTTTGAGAACCTATAAACTATTCTGAATACAAACAATCATGGAAGTAACTGAAGGAGCACTTACAGAAAATGTGAATAATGTGATTCATCAGTTTGGTGACTAGGAAAAAAGGAGTATTTTCACTGAATGATGAAGCTAAAAGACTTGCTGGTTCTGAAACTGATTTAGTTTGAGAAGGAGCAGGTGGAAAGACAGCGAGAGACAGAGAGAGAAGTGAAGACAACAGATAATGAAAACAGTAGTGGTAATTAGAAGCAGGGGTCCTCTGGAGCAGATCTGCTGAAAACTAGAGAGAGAAAATCTGAGAACAAAACATCAACCAAAGCAAGGGATTAGCAGCAGTAGCTTTCAATAGGAAGTAAAATTTTGAAATCTCAGTTTTTGAAGGCCTTGTGCTCTGAAAGCACGCCAATTGAAGCAGCACAGCAACTTGATAAATTTTAGGTCGCAGCTAGCTAAGCAGCCTTACATGTTTGAGCTACTGCTAAACATAATCACAATGTCCCAAGAAACTAGTTGCATTAAATAATGTTCAGTATACGTTGTTGACCAAGGGAATAAAATCATTAATATGTATTTGTTAATACGTATTTGAAATTTTTAGCTTTTAAATTTGGCCAATGAAAACTGACAAGTCTAGAATACTTCATTTTCCTGACAACCTAGTCAATGTCAAAGCATTGTATATTGAAGATGAAATACATGTTTAGAACACTTAAGCATCTGTTTTCTAAAAGATGTTCTCGTAAGCTTCATGCAGTGCTGTGAGAGGAATTTGAAAGTCATTTGTTTTCCTTGTTCTGGTATATAAATTCTGATTTCAATATTTTTTTTACAATGATTGCCTCATGAACTAAATTATATTTCTGTCTACATGTCTGTTATATACTTAATATACTAATTATTTTAGTGAATAATACTTAAGTATAAATTAAGCTTGTAATTTAAGAAAATGATAGATGATTTTTATTTGACTCAACCTTAACAGGTTAGAGTTCTTAACAAAAATGTTACTGTACATAAATAAATAAATTTAATTTTCCTTGGGTATTCTACATCATTTATTAATGATTAATTTGATTTTTCTAATTGACTAAAACTATAGTGCCAGTATCTGTTCATAGAATTCTGAATTATTTTGTTATTATAATTAATTTTTAAAGTAGAGAATTAGCCAAGCAATACAAATTTCAAACAATTACTTTTTCTACTAAGTTAGAAATCCATATTTTTACTTTGTATTGCAAATTGTAAGGAAGAATATTTTTCTTTTCTTTTAAGAATTTTTATTGTATTTTGTGATAATATTTGTAATTATAAGAACTGATAATTTTCTATATCTTAATAAATTTATAGTAATGATTTTTTTATGTCTGCAAAGTGAGGAATTGAAATATAAAAATGAATATTTTATTTGTGGTAAGCATGACATGTGCTTTTTACCATAAAGTTGCTAATGATATTCTAGACATTTTAAAGTATATTTCTGGCATTATTTGTGCCAGATACAAATGAGATGTTTTGCCTTTTCTTGTAAAACTTACATAAAAATAAAAATTATTTATTCAGTATTTAGTGATTATCACATCTATCATTGCCATCATTTCTTTAGCAAAATATACAAAATAGCAAAATTTCTTGACTAGAAAAGCTAAGACTTGAGTGTATTTAAAATATGAAACGAAGGCCCGGCTTGGTGGCTCAGCCTGTAATCCCGCACTTTGGGAGCCCGAGGTGAGTGGATTGTCTGAGCCCGCGGGTTCGAGACCCGCCCGGGCAACTTGGCAAGACCTCATCTCTACAATAAATCAAAAAATTAGCTGGGCGT